AAAAAAAAAAAAAAAAAGACAAAAAAGAAATCAAAAAGTCTCGAGCCACTTGGGCAAATTTTTGCTGAGAGAATCGGAAGAATGCCGCCTCTATTTAGCTACTTGCTAAAGAATTTGATAAGCGAGTTGCCCACTCAGCGCCTACTAATATCCACATTACAATTAAACCTACCATGGCCTATGTGATGAGAACATTACAAAGGAGGTTTATTAGCTTTATATGTATGATTTACTCAACTCTTATAAATCGGCATCCCCAGCACAGCACACTATATTATACAGAACGCCACCGATAAATCCAAGATGATAATGCGAGCATAGAAAACACCAAAGTGCAGCCGGCCGGGCAACAGAAATAGGCAATGATCTACAGACAGCTCCGTTTCTCCTAAGGGCCTCAAATGGAACCTAACAGAGCAGGCCAAATTCGGCCATATCCTAACCCAGCAGTCTAATATGACAGGCACCGTGTAATTTCAGAGGTGTAACTTCGCGGTGCTTGGGCAGATGGCGCTATCCATAAGAGCTAGCACAATGCTCTGTAGGTTCTTTTGCAAGATGCTAATAGGATGCGCCCAAAGAGAAAAAGAAAAAAAGAAAGAAAATTAGTAATACTGGTCAATCTATGCAATGGCGCTGTGGGGCAGCCCACTACAGTACAATATCGAAGGCAGGATACTAGTAAGCGTAGTGTAGAAACCATGTTGTTAGGGAATCTTGCTCAGAGTTAGGGCATGAAAATTTCTTGCGATCTACAATATATGGATAACCCGCGTCGCAGTGGATCATGTGGAACAGCGTACTATCGACGAGTTAGCAGACAGGATCTTAAACACTCCGTGCTTAGTGCTACCGACATTTGGATCGGTCCATAGGTGGAGTCATTTAGTGCGGTTATTAAATTTACGGACGGAATGTGGGAAGAGATGGGAAATCTATATTACGTTCTATATGGTGGATACACAAGACAGGCAGGCCTATACCCTGGTGAGTAGAGCTCGTCTGTGAGTGCCATGCTTGTTTTTGTAAATTGAAAGGTATGACGCACGGGCAATGCCATGGTTAATATACGGCCAGACTCGCATTTTCCTGAAAGTGCCGACAGCGCGGGTATTTTCGTGGAATGCGGACAGAGATAAACTACTCGGAGTACGGAGTAGTCAGATCTGGGTTTACCACTATGGAGGAAGCTTCAGGGTAAAATTAGTGGATATATGGAAGTTGAGGTGACCTTACAAGCTGAGAGACTTTAGTGCTGGGCAGATGACCAATAATCACATTTAATAGGGTCCAGAGTGGGTCCTGGACCTTCTCGAAATCGAACAACTATTGGGGACACGCGCCAGTTGGAACAACTACTAATGTCCTCGCACTTCTCGGGGCTTTAACCAGAAGCCAGATATGGCGATATTGAGCAAAACCATAGATGCCCTAGCTAGAATACCCAAATTCTTGAAAATACCGACGAGTTTCTATGTTCGAAATGCTTCATCATTCAATTGTGCACCTCGTTCCAGTTTATAAGCCTTACTCACATGTATGCCACATGAGCTCCGTCGGTACGCGGCAATCGTACGTGGATTTCTTCCGATACACCAGCGGTCGCTGGCTTTGGGATGAAGAACAGCAACTTCGTGAGCGATTCTCTCCTTTCAATGTACCCGAACTCCATAAAGTTGCCGCGAGCAGCGTAGAGGCAAACAAATGTATCGCGACCGCGAAATTGGCGGTAGGCTCCTTCAATAAGACCTTCAGTCTCACGATGGATAATAGTATGACTGTAATCGCCCAGATCCCTCACCCTATTGCAGGGCCCCATCCGAAGTTGCAACCATGGAATACGTAAGTATCATGCAGTTTCACAAGAAAGCTTTATTTCTAACATACGGTCAGGCTCGGAGTGTACTAAAAGTCCCGACACCGCATGTGTAACTGGAAGATATATGGAATGACCTTGATTTAGCAGAAAAGGTCGCAATTATGAAGGATGTCGTTGCGCTGGAGAAAAAAAAAAAAGCTTTCTATATCTTTGAATTGGTCTGTTCTCACAGAAACATGTAATTGTATATGCTGACCAGGACCTAGGTACGGGAGTCTCTACTATGCCAGCGAGAATATTCCAGGCGCCGTAGCAGCAGAAGTAATTGGTGATGTGCCCACAGAAGTGAGGAATACAGTGATGCACCGCTTTGCTATCGGCCCTGTTGCAGAAAGAGACTTTTGGAACAAAGAACGCGCGACTATGCGTATAGATCGCGGCCCATGTACGCTCCTTCGCCCTAGCTTTCCGTTTTCTTTCTAACACTATGAAGGGAACCAACCGAGAGAGTTTGTTGTTTCCTTGGCCCATCGAGAACTAGAGTGGATACAACGATATGCCATGCCAAAGCCGGCGGATGACCCGTTGGTGAGTGCGGCGTCGCAAAATTCTCCCAGTTGTCACATTACATTGCTTCAGAAGTATTTGAAAGTTGCCCCATTCCTCCTCCCCGATGATCCCGTTGTGGTCGCGCCTCATAAATGGCATGCCGATCTTCACGCAGGAAATATATTCGTTGATAAGGGCAAGATCTCTAGCGTGATAGACTGGCAAGGGATTTGGGCGGTGCCTCTTAATACTTCGCGGTGCCACCCGCGGCTAGTCGATTATGATGTCAAAGCCACCCGCAAACTTTAAGAATCTTGAGCCTGACGAGAAATTCAAGATACGAAAACACATGAGTAGCTCTATCATACTCTATCTCTACGAAAAACAGACCTCTAAGGAAAACCCTCTTCTGAGCAAGGTCTCCATTTTAGTCATGGCCGAACAAGGTGTGAACCTATCCAGTTTGTTGGTGATACTTGAGATGATATTATACCATTGAGGGAGTCGCTCATCAGGGTTGAGAAGTAAGTCTGACTTGGCATGCTACGTATTTTCCAGAGCTTCTAATGACGTTGTAGATACTGGAATGAATTTGAAACCGACGCTCCGTGCCCCATCCACTTTACGGAGAGTGAGCTTCAGACATTTCCAGAGGAAAGTGAAGGATGGAACGATGTGCAAGAGTTTTGGGATTCGGTCGCAAGTATCATTAATAGGGATGGGTAGACACCCAATGATCTTTATGATGAAGCTGTGGCTCTTTTTACAGAACTTAGAGAATTGGGTCTAAAATCTATGGTAGGCAAGGAGAGGGAGGATTTCAAGGAGCAAACACAGTGGGTTGAAAAGACATGACTCGATAGCAACGTACCTCGTATAGTTGCCCGACACTAATTTAGCCTGATGTTGAGTTGCCGCGTGTCATAATAACTCGTATTTTTCTTGGAGGCGAGGCTTACGTTGGATACCAAGGGCTTGGCCTGCTTGACATCCATGGACCACGAGCAAATCACACGGCAATTAATCCTCTTGGCTGCATAAACGGGCAAAATACAATGTGATCTGGTTGAGGATTTCGGGCGATCGGTACATATTATACCTATTGATTAAATACATAGCACTTTTGTACGAGTTATTAGAAGCAGGATTTCCATTCGGAATGCAGCCTTGCGCAGTTAAGCGATTACGACTTCATCGCTTTTGCTCTAGCCTAAGACCCACTTCTCGCTGTTTTAATATCTAAGCTCCCCTTTACAATCTCTCTTAAATTCTTTTGTTCCTACACACTTGGCATTGGATACAAGTGAGCTTCTAGAGGTTAAGACCCATCCATGTATTGGCTTTCTACTCTACTGTACTGGTGGGCTCTCCCCAGTTGCATTGCTCATCAAATTCCACGCGATGTCCACGATTCATCCCCCCTAAACGAAGCCTTCGAAAAGAAGGTCAACTGGGCCCTAGAACATTTCAGGATCCCTGGGCTCGCAGTATCTGTAGTCCGTGGAGAAGATATCTTCGCCAAGGTTAGTATACACATCGCGATGTCAATACTAGTCGCCGTCTCTCACCCAGAAAGTTAGGGCTACGGTATATCTAATACGGAGACATCCAAACCAGTCACAGAACACACTCTGTTCGAAGGGGCCAGCACAACCAAAGCATTCACGGCAGCAGCAATGTCTCTTCTCGTAGACGATAACGATAACTACCCCGATATCCAGTGGGAGACGCCACTGTATGATATCCTACCGGAATTTGCTCTTGAAGACCCATGGGTCACGACGCACGTCACACTTGAGGATATTCTCTCCCATCGCACAGGCCTACCACGCCATGACTGGATCGCCAACGCAAACATCACCATCCAGGAAGTTATTTCCAAACTGCGCTATGCGCCCTTAACAGCACCCGTTCGCACAACATGGCAATACTCAAACCTCCTGTACATGACAGCTGGCTATCTAATCGAGAAACAGACCGGTCAGCCACTGAAAGAGTTCCTTCGCAGCCGAATCTGGGAGCCTCTCAACATGACAGAGACTTATTTCACTCCAACTGATGCCCAAGAAGTAAACGAAGACATAGCCAATGGTTATTACGTCGACTCTGAACATCAATTCAAGGACGCAGGCTATCCATCCCCGAAGATACTCCGCGGGGCGTCGGGTGTCCTCTCTTCCGCGACAGACTACGCAAAATGGCTCCGAGCCATGATCCATCGCAGGCCACCTCTGTCTCCGGCCGGACATGCCGCAATCACAAGTGCACATAGCATTGTCTTCCCCACAGTAGCCCCGCCCTTTTCATCACCCATCCTGTACGGATTTGGTTGGAACCTGATGTCGTACAAAGGACACCCGGTGATTCAACACACCGGCGCGATATATGGCTTTGGATCCATGGTCATCTTCCTACCAGACGTGCAGCTCGGGATAACTATCTTAGGAAATAACTTGATGTCCACGAATGCAGTCGCGAGTATGTTAGCTTACCACATCATCGACGAAGCTCTGAGCATCCCAGAGAAGGATAGATTCGATTGGGCTAAAGAGTACGTCCCCCAATCATTATACTCCACTCTACCTAGACCTTATTAACAAAAGCCCCAGAGCGGAGAAAGTTCTCAACGTTACAATCACCCCGGACCCACGAACCCTCTACCCAACAATCCCCAACCCACCCCTCCCCCCACCTCTACCTCTAACCAGGATCACGGGTCTATACACCCATCCAGCCTACCCAACCCTAAACTTCACAGAAAACTGCTCGCAGAAATCCATCATCCCACCCCTAACGAACGCTACAAGTGTCCCGAGACTTTGCATGTTTTTCGTAAATCCTGCTGAACTTCCAGAGTCCCTCACAATGGAGATCGTGCATGTCTCTGGGGATGACTGGGTGTTTGGGTCTGAGTATGATGGGGTTGCGTCGTCGACGAAAGTTGAGGTCAAGGGTGGGCCGGATGGGTTGGTTGAACGGCTTGGAATTGAGGCGGATGGGGCTATGGCGGCGTTGGGGGAGAAGATTTGGTGGGTTAAGAGTGGTTGATTGGCTTTTGGGTTGATCTTAATGCTTTCATTGTGGTTATGTTGGTCTATGTTTGTACAGGGTTTGTTTAGGGAGGGCAGGATAAGGTATTTTGAACATATGCAGAGATGTAAATCTCCAGGATTGGGAGATACTGGGCATTAGTTGATTATTGTTTTTCTTATTTCCTATGGTATCAATAGTATTTAGTAACACAAATTTGCAAAGTTATGTGTACGAGTCACTCATGGCTCAGTGTTCGTCGATAATAATCTCGCTGACTCCGCGTCTTCCAACGTGCCCCTGCTATAGTTGTCGAATTTGAGCTCTCCAACGAGCGTTTTCACATTACTATTAAACGTCAGTATGTATAAAGGGATAATCGGGAAAGACCCTACCTCAATAAATCCCTCAAAGTAAAACCTACCACCGACCTCAACACCTCCAGCGTTACAAACGCTGAAAAAGCTGGATCCTGGACATGGCGAATACTCAGCAACTCGCCATCAATCCTCTGCAAATGCCTTGCCAAGGGAAACGAATCACCGGCAGACAAATACGGAGGTAAAGGCTGGGCATTTGCCAGCGAAGCCGACAAATGGCAAAGAAGCGAGGTAACAGAATGAGAATGAAAATCGGCAGATTGTAACGCGATCGAGGCTAGCTGCGAGACCCATCTTTCTTCCGAGTCACGAGAGCTTTCCGATTCCCTAGTCACAAGATTTAGATGCTGAGTCGTATGTGCCATCAGCGCCATGCTGGTTAGCATACGCTGGATTTCGGAGATGATGTGGTCGTAGGTTGCTTTTGGGAATTTGCCGCCGATTGGGGGCTCGTATGTGCTGAAGTGGCTGTGCGTGCGGAGCTGGTTTAAGAGCATCATTTCTTCTTTGAAGATTTTATGGCGCGAGTTTTCTAGCTTGTAGGATGCTGAGCAGGTGTCTTGGCCATTGCTTAGTTCGCCGTTGAGCCAGAGCTCGACGGTTGTGTGCATGCAGCTGTAGAATTTGGCGAGGACGAATAGTGCTCGACCGACGGATTTTCGAAGTGTGGATTTCGCGGTGATTGGGTATGGGAAGATGACCCAGAAGAAGGAAATGGCGCATCCGGCGGCGACGGCGGCCAGCTTGTAGGGCCCAAAGAGGTAGATGGGGTAGTATGGTTGGCCGTTGGAGGTTGCGACTTCTATTCCTAGTTTGCGGACCTGGGTTGGTTAGCGATGTTGCGTATGCTCATGTACCATTGATAGCTTACCTGTAGTTCATATCCAACGATGACATTCAGGGTGACGATCGAGATGACGGAAGCGCCGAAGTATTGAGGGACGTTCACGTAGAAGTAGTACTGTTGAGGAGACGTGAGAAATAGAGTTAACTAAGTGCGAATGAACCCTTACCTCAAATACATTGGCCAGATATAGAAATACAATGACTCCGGGGGTTTTCTGATCGACGATATACCAGACAATCAAACTCAAGACTAGCGAGGCAGCGGTGGCTACAATACGGGTCACGAAGCCGAACATAGACTGTCCGCTTGTCGGATTCATCCCGATCACAATGACAATCATAGCCCAGATACATCTTTGGTGAATGAAGAAATTCTGCGTCTGGTGTAAAAACGCCAATATGCCGACGGAGAATGCAGCGGCCGCAACGCGAAACCCGAAAATACTATACTCTGACTTGATGACATGCGAGATAAAGCGAATGATGGTGCTCGCTTTCTCCAGAAGATTGGCTGGAGGTAGATGCTCGGGATCAGGGAATCGGTCGGGCTCATCCTCTGCATGCACCGAGGAGGGATTGGCCTGGGAAGGCTGCCTGCTGTCTGAGCCACTTGATTCATCCTTCTCAGATTTTACGGATAGCCATCCTCGTATAGAGCTTTGCATGGGGAAGATCGGCCTGTTCTTTTTCATGGTTCCGTCCGTAACCTTGCTATCCGCAAACTTGATTAGATCGAGTACTCCGTTGAGAAGACTCTCCTGTAGATGGCCCATGTACAGAATTAAGAAAAATTCCTGCCTAACATCGGAGTCAGGCACGACAGCTCTGGAGTCATTGGAAATGTCGTCGACCTTTTCAGACGCCGAGAATGCTTCAAGGCTTGCCAACGATCGTGGGAGCTCCTTGCGCCGTTCGAAGTACTTGATCCTTTCTTGTTCGAATCGAGACGTAAAGTTCGAATCAAGTGGGCTGATTACCTCGCCTTTAGACTCCTCATCGCTGCCTTCATTGCGTTTCTTCTCTAGTTGCTTAGGCTTGGCCAGCTCCAATGCCAACAAAACATATTGTAGTCCTGCTGTGGTTAGACGGGTCGCATCTGCCAAACGGTCACGGAGAGTCTCCGAAACTTTCTCCATCTCTGATTGCTTCAGTGATTCGTCCCCAGGTTCGCCATCTGATCCCCTGCCAGTCTCCGGTATTCCTTCGTTCTTGACGATCATATCCAGAACATCTGGAAGCTGGGCCATTCCAGCCAGAGGCAACAAAATGCTTCGCAATAGCCCCCCTATCCTGTTTAGATCGCTAGCTGATAGCTTTCCCCATGCAAACTCATCATTAGCATAGAACAGATCGGACTGTAGTTTTCCATGAAGGGCATTCAATTTCGTAATCGATGACGTTAGCTGTTTCTGCCGTGACTCTAGCTCAGATCTCGGATTATTCTCAGGATCGCGAACAGTCTGAGCAGTCCGCGTCCTATTTAAGAGCCCTTGACCCCCGGCCAGTAGCTGAGGAGTGCGCTCCACGAATGCGATATGCGATTGCAGGACTGCGTCAATCTGCGCCACATAGCCCTTGATGTCATGGAAAACATTACGTCGACTGGTAATGGGTAATATCAATAAGGATACGCCCGTCGCGATGGCGAAACCGATCATAAATCCCTTCAACAGTCTCGAGACGAATGCTAAGCCTTCAGATACCGTTACGAAGGTGCCGGCGCGCGTGATAGTGACAGAAGCAAAGATCGAAAAGGCAACCATGGGATCCTGCAGCTCCATAGGGCGCCATGCACGGATGGTGTTAGCTACCCTGCTCTGGTATTAGTATATAACCTCGCACGACTTTGTTAAGGTAGCCAAATGGCTCGTCATATAACTATTAATGCGCATGAATGGAAGACACAACGAACCATATCATGAAGATCAACCAAATGGCAGACACAGCACAGGCATCACTGTTATAGCCATTCTTGACGCTCTCACTGGCATCCGAAGGGGTATCGTGCTCTCTTGCCTTGACAGCACAGTAGATGGTTAGACAGCAAAGGGAAGCTGAGACGCATGTTGATAGTAGATCGAAGAACATGATCTTCATGAATTTGGCGCGCGGGGTCAAAGCTTGCGACAATACCGAAATGAGGGCGGATAAATATCCGATTGTCAACGTGATGTCCGCGACGGCATCACTTTGGTGTCTGTAGCAAGTTAACCATCGTGTTCGGTGCGCAGTGGAAGTTGTATACGGACATTGCGATTACGATCGTCGGTGGTAATGCACCTTTCAACATCATGAGGAACGACCGTGAGTCCAGCCCCAGACGTGATCCCCATGTTGACGGATTCAATATACTTGAGATAATTAGCGTTGCTCTACTTTATGGTGAGTGAAGGGGAACGATGCTTACCTTAAGAGTTTAGATGGTTTGGAGCTTTTACTGTTCGTTTGAAGAGCCATGCTACTATTTAAAGCGGACTGCTAACGCACTCGCTCTGGTATGCAGCCACCGTCGCTGTATATGTCTCATGGAGGTTTAGATATGATAGAAAGAAAAACTTTTCAATTCTAGATTTAGATACCAGTATTAAGAACTCTAAACAACGCGAATTAAAATCGGCTGCAGCAAGCGGATCGGGTTGCCGTGCCTGAAATCCATGACGCGTGCCGAGCTAAATGCCGACAGAAGATTCAAAGTCCTTGCGCAGGGGATTGTCCTCTCCTTAAGAGCTTGTTCAGAATCAAGATCCCGCCTACACAATTTCTCGGGATATATTTCCGGGTACTCAATATAATACGAATATGTACTGAATAGGAGCAAGATAATCCAGGTGGTGATGCTCGTTATCGTGAAATGGGGTACGTGCACGTGATGAATTAATTGGTTCTGGGAATTTCTCTGAATTATGGCACTAAGGAGGAGGGAATAAGCGAAAAGTCAAAAATAAGAACAGACAAGTGGAAGATAATCGAGATCATACTAAACAAGAACAATGGTACGTACTCCATACTCCATACGAAAGAATGCTTTCAAGAATAGCGATGATTATCATCCAAACCATTTGCGGGTGAAGTCTTTACCGTTCTAGGGAAGTGTTCACATGACAACCTGAAGGAGCCCTAATTTGGCTAAACCTGCCTTTTACGACTACATAGTACATATGTACATTGAGAGGGGATACTCCTGCGTCGCTTCATCATAAGTACTCCTACGTGAGGATACCTGGAGAGGATGCCGTGTAACTGTGCATGACAAATATTCTAGAGGCTTCCCCTGAGTAAGGGATGAAATCTGATTTCATAAGAACTGTGAATTGATACAATGTACTCTGCATTGTGAAGTGTCTACCGAACACAGTAGAACTGATCTAGCCAAAAGACTATCAATCAATAGGGTCAATTAGGGAAAAGTTTAGCGTCTTTCATGTTACCAAACTAATGATTCATCGAGTGGGATCCCCATCAGCCACAGTGGTGCGGAGTTGGTGGAGAGGGCTGAAGATCCCACTGGTCGAGAACAATCAGCTAATTGCCGTTCCAACTTGAGTAACATACGTATATTCTGTACGTTCGAACACCATGGAAAGAGATGGATGCCTAGTATCGGATCCTTTCTCAACATTCCTGAAATGTGACGGAATACTACGTTTACATGGGAATGACTGCCTACGTAGTATAGGGAGAAAACCATAACTGATCATGCAAGACGGATCAGGCATGACACAGCAGATAACGGGGAACACTGCTCACTTACCATACCATACCGATACCTATGACATAATGGGCGGACCAGGACGGTCGCAGTGCGTAATGGACGATACGACTGGAGCAGTCGGGGCTTCGGCGCACCTGCTCCGAGGACCGGACTCTGAGCCCCTGACATCAATTCCACCAATCACCGTCAGAGATCGACATGGCAGAGTGAGGCGTCATTCCCCACTGACCTCTCTTGCCCTACTTTTTTCCTTTCCTTTTTTTTTTTTTTTTTTTTTACAAAAATTATTCAATTAATTATTATTTTTATCTTAGGTTCACCCTACAGGGAGAGCCATGAATGACAACAATGAACGCCCCCTTACATAGTCATCAAATGGAAAAGCCCACCGTCATCGTGCGTAACTTGCACTTCTCAAAAGTTGGGAATTCACCGGCCATTCATTCCAATGGTACAGTGTCAGGGCAGATCCGGGATGGATGACGACCGCAACCATGGAAGAGGGAACTGGTTGCCATCTTACTGATAGATGACATCTCGGAGATAAGCCAATGACTATGACAGAATACCCGATCGTTCAGGACTGTCTCTCATAGGGCCGACTATGAACAACAGACGTGGCGCAGTGTCCTTTTCCCAACCATTCTAGCTGTGAAATTATTTTTAACGACTTTCTGGTCCATGGATCCAATTAGTTTCGCATTGCGATGATCATTCCGTCTTGGCAAACATCATTAGCTACTAAGCACTTGCCGCCAAGGGCCTCTTTAAAACTGAGGCAAATCTCCGGGGAATCCCCTGAAGCTTGTCCTATTTCTTCCATTCCTCTGTTTCCATTTTCTGAATTTCTGTTCAGCAATATCTGCAATTACTGCCTAGGGATTCTACCTAGTCCCCTGCCCCTGTGACCACCGATCTCTGGCCCTGAAATACATGCGTAAGTTGTCCTTTGCTCCACTCCTTACTCCACTCTTATCTGCTTTGCCCGTTCTGGATAAGAGCTGGCCGCCAGCTTCAAAGCAGTCAATTTGCTCCCTCTACTCCCCACTGGGTCGAATATCATCTTTTGTGCCTTCTTGACTGACGATTTGATGCGACCTCCAGACCGGATTCAATCGTGGGCGAAAGCTCACGCGTCCTCTCGTGATTCTGCTCCTGAGACTCAAACTCCCTCTAGCACTCTCGGTCCCCAACCCACCGCTGGGGTGCCCACAACCTGCAAAGAACATGGACAAGTGACTGAACCCGCTGAGACCCTGGCAAATCCAGGGTCGAATCCTGAAAAATCCGATGGGGACCAACAGTCTACCCCCAACCGAGGACTTTTTGTCCGTATGAAAGATGGCAGCATCCGGTTCGCCAGACATACGAAGCACGCCCTCTGTCACAGCTGGGTCAATGTTCTGCTCGTATTCGTGCCTGTCGGCATTGCCGTTAAGGCTGTCGGGTTAAGCCCGGCACTTATCTTTGCCATGAATGCCATCGCCATCATTCCCCTGGCCGGTTTACTGAGCCATGCTACCGAATGTGTCGCTAGTCGTTTGGGAGACACCATCGGTGCTCTCATCAACGTCACTTTCGGAAATGCAGTAGAGCTAATTATCTTCATTATCGCGCTCGTCAAGGATGAAATTCGAGTGGTTCAGGCCTCCTTGTTAGGTTCCATTTTAGCAAATCTGCTGCTTATCATGGGAATGGCCTTCCTCCTGGGAGGTCTTCGTTTCCAGGAACAAATCTACAATAGCACTGTCACTCAAATGAGTGCATGCCTTCTCAGCTTGAGTGTCATGAGTTTGCTCTTGCCGACCGCTTTCCACGCTTCATGGTCGGATAACGCAGCCGCTGATAAATATACCCTGAAAGTTAGCCGCGGAACTAGTGTGGTGTTGCTTCTTGTTTACGTCCTCTACATTGTCTTTCAACTCAAGTCTCACTCCTATCTATATGCCAGTATCCCACAACAGATCATCGACGAAGAATCACACCCTGGTGTTCTGGCCGATTTTATGAACCATTCTTCAGATTCCTCCAGCAGTTCATCGGACGAATCCGACGATACGACAACCTCATGGACCACTGCCAAACGTATCAAGAAAGCGATGAAATACCGCAGACATCGAAAATCGAGCACTAGCTCCAAGGGCACCGCTTCCACTCCTTCATTCCGAAAGCAGGTTCTGTCGGAAATGCCATCTGCGGGAAGCAGTGAGACGCCTGACTCTGTACATCGCTCAACGTCAATCCCAACGGAGGATGCCGCATCCTGTGCTATTGATTTCGGTGATGACCCTCGCTACGAGGCAGACAATGATACGCACCAATTCGAACCCCACTTCCGAGACTTCGGTCAGGAGTCCAGTGTAGTGAAGCTTTCGAAGAAAGAACTTAAAGCCAAACGACGTGAAATGCGGAAGCAACAGAAACTTGCGGAAAAGGCAAATGAGGCGACTGCTACGGACAGTGCCATCAATGCCCGTCCATCCTTGAAGGCTTACTTGTCGGAACCTCCTCTGGAGCCGAATGGATTGCAGAAAGACCCACAGGACCTAGATTCTCCTAAGCGACGCTCAGCATTCCGTCCTGCTATCCCGTCCCTGTTGTCAAACACTGTTTTCTCTAACTCCCAAGCCCCGTACAACGTACGGCATGATCCATCTGGAAATCTCAACGGTCTCCGACGTACTAATTCTCTCCCGTCTCGAATGAATCGCCCTCCACCTGTCGGAAATGCGGTTCAATTTGCCCGTGGCGCAGCCAGAATACCCACCGCTGTCAACCCGCAGACGCTCCAACCGGCACCAGAACATCAAGAACCGGTAATGTCACGCACCGCTGCGGTTGTCATGTTGCTTCTCTCTACCGGCTTGGTCGCTGTCTGTGCCGAATTTCTAGTGGATGCAATCCCCGAGATGATCGAAAGCTCATCTGTCAGTGAGGCCTTTATCGGTCTAATCATTCTTCCCATTGTTGGTAATGCAGCGGAACACGTTACTGCTGTTAGTGTGGCTACCAAGAACAAGATGGATTTGTCCATCGGTGTCTCCGTTGGTAGTAGTATTCAAATCGGTGAGTTTAATCGAATCTTTTCTACAAGAGATGTATAACTAATATATGACAGCTATTTTCGTCACCCCTCTGGTGGTCATTCTCGGCTGGTGCATGGACAAAGACATGTCCTTGTACTTTACTCTATTCGAGACCATTTCTCTTTTTGTCACTGCATTTGTGGTGAACTTCTTGGTGTTGGATGGTCGCAGTAACTATTTGGAAGGCGCTCTTCTGATTGCCGCCTATGTGATTATTGGGTATGTTTACCAATCTAGAACGCATGCTACCCAATTCAAAACTAACTTTCGCACAGTGTTGCTGCATTTTTCTATCCCCCTGCTAGTCAATCGAGCGATGTTGCTACTGCTGGGCATTAGTTACACGCAATCTCCGACGGTTGATGCTAATGGATACCGTTGGAGTAATCTCCTACTTTCTACCTCGATACGAAGTTAAATGTAATAGTTATTATGTACCATGGTAGGAGAAACGACTTGGATGAGACGGTACATATGTTTATTCTTCTCGGACTGGATGGCACTACCAGAATGAATTATGGGTGTCCGAGCACCTCGCGGTTTTCGGGCATTTTCTTTTTCTTCTACCTATAATAGTTATCTATCATCATAAGGGTTCTCTGCATCTGGTCTTCAGATTCAGAGTTTACCAGTTTTACAGCACAATTGTAAAATTCCAGTCCATGGCCGTATTCCTAGATTCACGAAAATTAAATACCCACCCATACAAAGGTTTAACGATCAATCCTCCTGATGAATATCAACCTGCACACCTTCGGGAAACTGAACTCCTTTTAGGTCATCAACGGAAACGTTCTCCGGGGCGACAAATCTAGGCATTATTAGTAAGGATAGTCGGACTTAACTGAGACCTGATCAACATACGAAGTAGTATGTATAGGAGGCATGCTCTTCGTAGAGATGAATAAGGTCTGCTCCGTGGCTCCCTTCTCCGCGAATTTGCCTTTGGCCCTATACTTACGGGTTAGAAAGATATGTCGAAAATTAGACTGAAGGTGCGATTGATGGACAAGAATACATTTGCTCAATGGTGCTTCCGTATTGCTTATATGCTTCTACGGAGTCGTAGCGGATTAGGATTGTCTGTTGAGAGTTTAGTGTATTCTAATTTGCTAGGATAGTTGAACGGAATGAAGTGTGACTGACAAACCGGCGCATTGCTCTTTAACTCTTCTTTATCAAATTTTATCAAGTAGTGCTTACCGCTTCTTTTGCGTGGTGGAAGGTTATATGTAGATGGTGGGGTTCATGAACTGGTATGCTTCTTTGTGTCTTGCGGGAAGGCTATGCTGATGACATCATCGTCGTCTAGGTCTTGGATATCGCATGTCCAAATACTCGGGCCAGAGTTATGCATTAGGATAAATCTCAGAACGATACAGTCGCATCCAGGAATTTACTATCGCTGTGTTCGGAGTGAACTCTATTGAGAGTAATTGGGTTCTCGCGTTGGATACTCCGGACGCACGTGCTAGTTATATTTATATAGAGATTTGTCATATAAAACGCATACAAATTATAGATACCAACAGACTAGAATGCCCAGAAAGAAAAGGTAACGTGATAAGAAGCAACACCGCCCTCCGAGCTTCAAGACGACTTAAGTCCATTCCCCTTCGCATAAACCAAGCCCGACCTTTCCAATGGCTTTTCCAGACTCAAGGATCCTATGTGCCTCTTTGATCCCTTCAAGATTCAATTGCAGTCGCCTCGTCAAGTGGCACTTAATCTTGCCTGCATCAATAAAAGTTGAAAGCTCTTCCAGCATTTCCCACTGATCGGTCTTAACGCCATGGTACATCCTCGATCCAAGCCAACACCAGACGAAAGTTAGAGACTTAGACATAAACTGAGTACCGTACATGTTCATATCGGCAGATTGAACAATAGAGCAAACTTTCCCTAGTGGTGCAATGATATCCGAACAAACACCAAGGTACTGCGTCGTGGAATGAGTAATATAGACATATCTGTCTCAGAGATTAGCATAGACTCAGTCCAACAATGAATAGCTGCTCACTTGATAGGCACATCAAGCCGAAGCTTGTCAATCTGCTTTTTCAAATCCTCCCGGTGATTGATAACATGAGTGGCGCCCATTTTCTTCGTGAAATCGATCGTCTCAGGTCGCGATGCCGTGGTAATCACGACAGGTAAATCAAGTACCCACCGCGCAATTTGTGATGCCATGGCTCCTACACCACCGGCACCATTTATTATCAGAATACCGGCTTTTTCTCCCTTTTTGATCTCCAGTCGGTCCACTAAGGACTCGTAAGCCGTCCCGTATGTTAGCGGCATCGCAGCAGCCTCGACGAAATCCAGTGATTTCGGCTTATGCCCGACGGTGACGTCCGGGACTAACTGGTATTCAGAGTACACTCCTTGCTTTGTCGGCGAAGAGACATAGTAAACTTCATCACCGGGCTTGAATCTGGTACATTCTGGGCCAGCTTCTTGGACTATCCCGGCGCCGTCATACCCCATTATATGGAATGGGCGAGGAACAAATTTATAATAGTCTTTACACACTGGATTAGTGTATTATTCTGGGCCGTCATGGAAGTTATAGTACCTGGTGCGTCATCATATGTTCCGTTCCTAACTTTGGTATCGATTGGATTAACAGCGGCAGCTTCTACCCTAACACTTCTGTAAGCTGACTTTTACGACCATAATTTAGCAACTAGATAAATCTCACTTAATAAGCAGTTCCTTCCCCTGTGGCTTATCCGGCTTCGGAATCTTCCGACATATCAAATTGTCTATGGGTCCGTACTGTTCGACTCCGACGGCGTTCATAACTAATAATTATTGAAGTGTCAGTATATTCAAATTTTGACGGCTGCTAGGATCAAAATTGTGAAGGGCCGAAGTTGAAGATTCAGTCAGACCAAAGGATTTAAGGGTGCGGTTTCTCGATCGGCTTACCGAATGATGTTATGATGATGATGTTACCCGAGATATGCCCTAGGCCGTACAACAAAGCTCAGGTGATAACTACTTCTGACTAACCTTTTGTCTATTTTTACTCTTATAACCTTTACCTGGATGTGACCCTTTATTGATTTTCTACTTCTCTGATAAACAAGCAATATGTGTTGTTTTCTCATCAAGTCTCCTTTCTTTTGAATAAGTGGGTCCATCCACGTTTTAATAACCTTAGTGGTTTACTAGTTGGTGGCGTTATATACCAGACGAGATAGAGGGAGTGCAAGAAACACTTAGGAGTACAAAAGGGGATAGAAAAGAAAATAGAAGAAAAAGTGGCGAAAAGAACAGAAAAAGTAGAAGGGAGAGGAACCCCATTGCCACCTGTGTGCTTGGGCCACTAAATTATTCCAATACAATGAATCTAGAAGAGCACGAATCCAAAGCTAATTCCTGATCATCGGTTTGGCTTCCTAGATTGGCCGAATTCTTTGCCCAGGCGCAGATGCGCACGCCTCGAGAATGAAAGGTAATTCGCTCCCCGGAAAATAAGTGGGTTTACGAGGATGCTCGACAGTTACTGTGTAGTACAGCCCAGGGAGACATGTATGTACACAGTACATACTACGGCACAAGATCGTGCCGATCCCCCTTAGCCCGCTGTGGCAAGTTATATGACTGCCCTCACCGCCCCTACAGCTTCCCAAAAGAGTAGGCCTTTGAGGCCATTCAGCGTTATACTGCTTTGAATATTATTGCATTTTTAGGTGTTCTGATTTCATTATGAAGTTAGAGTTTAGTTAAGTAAAGCCTATTCAAGCTGGCTCCTGACCCCTGGGTTCCTGAGAAATCAATACCTAGAGTTCTGCTTGTCTACCTGCCTTCCTATGTACCTTATTAAAATGCCTTATCAGCTGCCTGCATGCTACGATCAGTGTAAGGATCTGTCTCGTACACCTTCTCCAGAGCCTGAGTGAGCTAGGAGCGTCTAGTAACTGGTTAATCCGAGACAAGTGGCTTAGGCCCCTTCTACAGTAGGGACTAGGATTTGAAAAAGATGATATCGCTGGTTAGCGTAATACTACGGAGTGATCTGATAGATATACAATCTAAGCGGGCCATTCTACCTCTATAATGTCTCTCGGTAGGTTCAGGAGTTGAGTATTCCGTATATTGTTGGGCTTATATTAGAAAATTTTTGGAATTGTTCGACTGGTCTAATAGAAGATAATCAAGAAGCTGACACTTAAGCTTCAACTGCTTAGTGAGAGTTCTACGTTGAGCTTTGAAAAACAGTATCATTTACATTGAATAATCTTGTGTAAACAATTTCTTAGTAATAAATACTGTTAGATATATTTGTATATACGGGTTTCAATATATACTGGTCTCTGGAGTAGTGGAGAACATCTCACCGACAAAACCTGGGTAACGCGCTAGACCAAGGATGTTAAAGCCCACTTATAACCTAGCTGGATGATTTTGGGACTTGATCGAGGTAGGTAAAAAGCCCCCTTATTATTCCACGAGAAGGAATGAAGATTTATGCGCATATCTATGTACTAGGATTAAATCTCACCGCAGAATTTTAGCAATATTAATATTTAAAGACATTGGTATAGTGTTGAGCCTATTCTGCAGTAAGATAATACTAGTAGTCGCACTGTTAAATCTATTATTCAAGCCCAAGCCCTAGAAGTACAGAGAATCTATATAATATTCCCGCCTTCCTTTCACCTAATTTCTCCCCTACTGAAATTGACTGGGGTTGGATGAAGGATCATACTTATAAGTTTAATTCCATCGATTTTATTTAAGTATTCGCCTGAAATCTATAATTCTAGAAGTGTACGTTAATGTTTCTGAATCGCGTCTTCACCTTTTGCTGATAGAGATACCTTACTATGTTCAGGCGGTTATTTAGGCAAGCGCGGGTCCTACTGAATACTAGGTATACTACGCCTTGTATGTTTCTATACAGAGGATTTCTATATAGTTGAATAGCTTCAATATCATTGACTTTATTAAACCGGCAGAAAAGCTGGTGGCAAATTGACTAATTAAATCACTACAAGGATCGCCACGATCTTTTTGCCCCCTGGGGCTCTGCCATTTAGCACAACTGGATTATGGCAGTGGTACGTCAGAAAGCACCCCAGACCCTCCGCAAGCTTCCTATTTTCTACTTAGTCGGTCAGTGCCCCACAAGCCATCTCCCCGACACTATATTACCCCCCATATGTACTACATTCTCGGTTATAGCTGGAGGCTCAGGTCTTCTTAGGCCAGGAAGAGGGCATTTCTCTATCCGTTTCTCTTTGTGCCTCGAGATAAACATATATAAATCTCCTGTTCTAGTCCTATGTACGAGAAATAGATATCGCTCATTCATTTCGCTCTTCATTCAACACACAATATCATTTGTCTCACCGCTGCCTTTTGTCATAGAAGCTGCTGGGTCTTCCACCACGATAACCACCTCGCACGAACATGGCAGATGTTCCAAATACGTCAACTGCTCTTCCTTTGCATCTCGAATCCTCTCATGTACCTAGTCACAACGTCGCCCAATTCCCGGGGTGGGGAAACGTTGGTCCTTTGGCAGGAAATTCCAACATGAACCCATTATCTCTCAAGCCAGAGTGCATGCCACTCAATTTCTTCAACTCATACACCCAATCGCCGTTTGGCATCGGCATCTCATCGGATGAGCGGTTTACAAACCCAGGCTCTAGCAGCCAAGGTGAGCCAGAGGTGGGCGTGAATATGCACTTGCCGATAAGCTCACAACTCAACGAGGTTGTTGTTAACCCAAGGAACCATACCGCCATTCGCAACCATTACTTTGTCAATCTTGGTCTCAGCCATACGCGAGGGAACGCCGCGTTCCAGGACAATGCCGCTCTAGATCAGCACGAGCATTTAACAAGGAACCCCATAGTTGCTCCCACCATTCCGCCGGTCCAGTTCCAATCTAGAACTGGACAGCATAACGCCTGCATAAACGCGATTCAAAGGTACTCCTATCTTAAATCTATATCTAAAGTCTATGGCTGTGTACCTGACAGGATATAGTGAGAACGACGCGCGACCTATCCTCCGATGCAGATGGGAGGGCTGCACCTCTAGACGACAGTTCAATCGTGAGGCAGACCTCGTGCGCCACATTAGAACCCTTCATATCGCCCCTCGATCCTATAAATGTATTATTGAGAATTGTTCGAAGACATACAATCGGGGGGATAATCTGAAAGAGCATATACTTAGGGTTCATCAGGTATCACATGATACTTAGGGCTTTGCGTCACCTCTTACTTGTACGCTTGCCTATTCGTTGTTTCTCTTGCGCTGATATGTGGTTTGCCTAATTTTCATTTTCAGGATGCTTTTTCCATTGCAGTTATACATATGCCTCGTAGCACTAGCTCAGAAAGTTTCACGTTTTGCCTTCGTTGTATTAAGCATGCCGCCGCTGTGTTTTGAGAACATGTTTATATCCCTTTCTGCTTCCCAAATACCTCCATTGCCCTGTTTTCCTCGTATTTTGTCTCCCTACTCTCCTTTATAAAGCCTAAGGCATTATAAGATATGATAGTACACCATCAATGATACAACGTGTCGCGAACTCAAAGTCGCACAATAGCCATCTAATTGCTATCGTGAGGACACCTGACTCTCCAACTAAAGCTAACAATATCAGCATGAACCGGAGTATACTAGTACCTACTGCCTTTATTAATAGTGGGGTTGAAGATAGAGTAAAAATGGCTCTTGTTGCGAATCTGTCTCTTATAGTTCATCTCCGGCGGGCTAACTGTACAGGTCTGTAATAACTGACGTAGTAGAATTGGTAGCTGGTGCGTATACGTTGGGGATTCTTGGAACGGTTACGGAATGCAATGTTATCTCTTTTTCTTTCTTTGTGTCTTATATTGCCGGTGCTGGTGACAATGTGACTACGGTTCATGGGCATTGTGCAGCAGTGCGACGACATTTCTCACAAGTTTACCAAAAGCCATTTGACTTGATGGCCTGACTTTTTAGGTCAATATATTTAAGAGTTTGCAAGATAACAAAGTCTAAGCTTAATTATATACATTCTTCTCCATCCAATCCATGATCAAATCCGCAATCTGGAGATTATTCTTATCCTGCATCATCATATGACTATTACCGTGAATGCCCAGTTTCGGTAGCTCCGCCATAAAAGCTCGCCCCCCGGCAGCAGTGAGCCGATCCACAACAGCCTGGCAGCCCTGAAGTGATTGTGGCCAGAGTCTGCGAGAAACCTTAGCTTGATCAAGGTAATCGCCATAAACAAACAATGTAGGGACTGTCGCTAGCACAGCTATCTCCTCGTCCGTTAGCGTGGGACATTGTCCCTCGATCGACACGATGCCCTTGACAGCAGAAGAATTGTTCAGGGCTGCATAAAAGGGGAAGAAAGCTGATTCCGAGTGTCCGACCAGCACAGCACCGTGCACCTTACTGGCTAAGGTCGCCAGATTGGCGTATGTGGGATTCGGCCCCGGCAGTATGGCGTTCAGATCGGGAATCACTTGCTTGGAGAGTTGTGCCATGGCCTCTATGGGATATTGCAGGCCTGGGAAAACCTGGGGGTAAGTGTATCCGAAGCGGAAGAGATCCCAGGCACGCTCGCGACCGGCAATCTCGATTCTCGGCAGGGCCGATGGGGCCACCTGTCCAAGCTGAACTTGATTGAAAATGGTCGGGTCAAAACCAGAGCGAGCTCGAGACGTCTGATCAGGCACATAGACGGGGTGGCCTTTTCGCACAAGGTATTCGGTCCACCCCATGCGACCGTCGGGCGTATCTTGGTATGTTTTCCCACTGAGGCAGCAGCCGTGGACAAGAATGTATGGGAGGTGGTTGGATCCGTTCATCGGAATTTGATACTCCACGTACATTTGGTCCACGGAGATCCAGTCTTCCGCAGGATAATCAAATAACGGGTTTGAGCGGTCTCCGGTATTCACTAAAGTTTTCACTTCGCGACCACCCACGAAGAAGTCGCCTGCATCTTGTAAGATAAGAGGTCCGTTGCGGTGGCCTTCGATATGCAGGGATGTAGCCGCTGCTAGTGCAGCGGAAGCGACCCCCCACAAAATTCGTAGCATGTGTAGGATGGCTTTTAAAGATTTTACAGAACTGAACAGATTCTTGAAAATAAGATCCCCTGCTTTGGGACTGTAACTAATATGGACCCTAACTTTTCGACGATGAACTAGTCGGTAGCTATCGGAATAGGAACGTTCGTCACACGCACCCGATAATCACCAGGCAACGTATTATACCACTGAAGCAAGCAAAATTATCCAGTGTATGGGATAGACCAGGTACTTTATCGGAAATATGAGCCTTATCAACTCTATCGGTCTATTCAATTCCTCTTAGTTCCATCCCTGTGATCGTGTTCTATTTTTATCATCGCTAAAGGCAAAAATGTTACCAACCCCGCTCAGCTGCATATACGGGGAGGTTGGGTACCCTTATATGTTACTGGACGTTACTAGCTCCTTGCTAGATCGTCAGCACACTTGACCCTTTTGATTAGATATTCCGATATTAGTAGGTATACATCTGTTTATATAGGAATAGAAGGGAATTGGACGCAACCTAACCAATCTCGTACTTGAACTTCAGCCGAACTTCACTGTATTGTATTCAAGGGAAACCGAAGACCCTAGTATCCTGTGATTCGCATATTTTACTATCTCATGCCTCAAGATTTCGAGGAGCTTGGCTCAAGGCGCAAACTATAATTTCTTGGGAATATGAACACCTCTGGTGTCAGCGATGTCAAACGCCAATGTCCCAACGTGAACTAAGTAATCTCCTGTCCCAACGACTCAGTTCTCGCTTACTTCGTCACAATAGGCGAAGTCCCTTCGAGAGAATTCCAGGACAAATTTCTTTCGTCTCACCAGGGTCAACAGCCACCTGCTGAAATGTAATAAACGTCTTCCACGGATGGTCCAGGGAGTGATCTGGCCACCCATCATATACATGAACAGTCTCTACGCCTTGACGACTTCCCACGTTGGGGACGTAGACTTGTACCCGGACTCAATCCTCATCTTCCTCTCCAGACGCAGCCAGGGTAATATCATGTAGCTGGAACGAAGTGTAGCTCCAGCCATACCCGAACGGTAATAATATCTTGTCCTGCCTCTCTGGAGTATGTATGATCGTAGAAGTGATATCCAACAAAAACACACCCCTCATATCGCACGCGCGCTCGACCGTCCCGTTCAAACCCTCCGGGGAAGATCCCATATGCAGGCGTACTCTCAATAGCTCCAGGAAACGTGACAGGAAGTTTTCCCAATGGTGACTAGCATCCGAGGAGTATATCCGCGAACGAATCTGCCACCAACAATCCGTCACAGAATTCAGGAAATGATAGCATTGCTAGGTATAGTTCGGTAGACAAAGCCGTCCTGTGTCGAATATATGATTTGCTGGCTCTCCAACTAGTCCACACAATTCTATTACAAGGTACCACATTATAACCACCTAAAGCCCAGGCATTTGATATGATGAAATCTATGTCATCGTTTCCACCCGTCTATAGTCGTAATGCATAATTGAATGCCCGGCGAAGATCAGTGGTAACCGACTTGAATGGCGTGGGCCTTAGTATACCCTGGGTGTCAGGTCAGGCGCAGGACTACTATCAAAAGATTATTATTGGGTTTTTTTCCAAGCCGACCAGGCGTGTGAATCTACACACTCCTTCGCCCCTATACATAGATAATTCGGGAACTTTCATAGAGCCCGAGGATTGGCGGTGCCCATGCAGTTCAGCCTCTGTTCAAGCCGGAGAATCTTCGGATGTATCGGCTGCGATGCCAAAAGGCGGTCAGGCTTCCTGCGGGTACCTGGTGGCTTTCATGATGCCCTACCCCTCGTTATGTTAAACAAAGGCACAACACTGATCACGCCATAGTAGCAATTAACTACTAGTCACTAGAATTACGGAGATAATAGACCATCCTTCCGACTTAGCAGTATTCTTGAATCATGCAACATAATTGTCGGCAGGTCAAGGGGGCATTGATGCCGCGTACATCCAAAACAGATCCATGGATGGTTGTTGTCGATCTGTTACAAAATATTACCCCACACCGCCCCTGAGTTATCTGGTACAGCTGAGGTCCTCATCCACCCAAGAATTGCGTATTGATCGCATGAATTTCTTGCATTCTGTAGTCAATTACGGAATAAAGCTACCGGTTTACTTCCTTAGCCGTACGGTTGTTCTACATGTCATCAGATTTGAAGTTATTTGTTCTTTATTTCATGATCATATCAAGAGAGAATGTCTAAATAAACCCTCTTAGTTGTAGTGGCGCTCGAGAGCCTCCTCAGCGTGCTTCTTAGCCTCGTGCTCGGCCTTGAACTTGTCAAACTGATCGAGACCCTTGGTCTCGAAGAGATTGGTAGCGGCGGCGCCAAGCAAGCCACCGATGATCTCCTTGGCCTGGCCATGCTCAACGACCTTGCCTGCACGATGTTAGAATATGAAGAAGTATTTGGGGGGTGGGGGTACATCGTACCGTTCTTCTCCTGGTACTCGTTGAACTTCTTGATGGCCTCGTAGGCCACAGCTCCACCGATGACATCGTGGGTGAGGTGACCCTGGTGGCCCTCCTGGACCTTGTTGTAGGAGTCCTCGTGGAACTCGGCTGGTCAAGTCAGTACTTGATTGATTAGACAGGATTAACAAGGCAAAGACATACCGAAAGGAAGGTTGACCATTTTGAATAATGTGGATTGGGTTGAACGATGTAGAGAGAGGAAGAGTGTTTGTGTCTGGAACACAGAATCAGCGGAGGTATTTATACTCTTTTTCGTAGTCCCGTGTTGCCCCTCCTGGTCAGGGGCTGAGCTGAGCTGATAGTCTCTTCTGCTGTTGCCATTATTCAATTAGTCGAGACTCGACACGTGTACTCGAGATGATAGGCTAAGCTTTGGTGAAAGCCGAAGTCGCGATGGCGGGTCGGCCGGGGCTGTGGCGCTATGATTTGGTGCTTGGTTACTATCGGGGGAGCTTAAGCCCCATCAGTCGGCGCCATGATGCTTAGGGGAAGCTTAGGGGAGGCTTAGGGGAGGGGTATCAAGATAGGGTGGGAAAAGATCGTGTTGATCCCTGACTAGCGGCTCGCTTAGAGATCGTGAGTGGAAACCATCAGAACCACTTGTGGCAAAGGTGGTCCTATTATCTTTTGTGTATGACTGACAAAATTCATGGAAGGAAACGATATACAAAACACACCGACAGGGATCAACATCGTCTTTTCACACCTTACCGTAATAGATGAGACGAGGGGCAGCTCAGTCATGGGAGGGTTTACTAGATCGTGTTTAATGATTGTGGATGTAATTGTTGATGTTGCCTAGTTAGGACTAGAGCTATTTGTTTCTTCCAAAACGATTTCTTCCCACAACAATCCTGTTGATAGATTAAAGTAATAACTCAATCTTAGGATAGGAATTTAATTAGTTTTCCCTAATAATAAATGTGGATACTTGTTGTTTTGGAAGGACAAAGCCCTAGATAGAACAATCTCTTTACACGAGATGTCGTCATGTGATTGAGGACGCATAGTGACTGCTAAATGCAGGGATAAACAGTCTTTACTGACACTCTGCATGATGCACTGAGATGCATATGTGTCCTTATTACGATTAAAGTAAAATTTGCTGTACAATGCTTTCGTATTCATTGGATTGGACAGGTTGTTGAGTGCAGTTTTCTTCGTCCCGAGTGAAGTTTTAAGATGGTTAGATACTATACCTAGCTACATTTCTGTTGGTCTGGCATGTCCCCTAAGATAGAAAAAACAAAAATGATTAGAAGCAATGACGAAAGAGGGGGGAAAATGAGGCTGTGCGCGTGGCGCGACATTGTGGCTGGACAATCTGTGGCTGTGCAACTCACTCGATCGACTTGGCTGGATCTGGCCGCCTCGTTTTTTGAGTCTCATGTTGAAATATGTTAGTTGTATATAGATTCGTCACCTCGGGCGCTACTGGCGATAGTGTATGTATATACAGGCCACGTAGTTAGCCATTGAAGAGGTTTCCCGCTCTTCAATCAACTTTTTTTTCAACCAGACCGATTAGTTTCTGTATAGTCATCCGAAGAACTATATTCAGGAAAAGTCGTCATGTCAAAGCGGATAATCTGAAACAGATAATGGACCACTCGAAGCCAGCAGGTACCAGGGCCTATGCATGAGACGCATACAGAGCCCATTCAACCAGTAGATAATCACATCGACACCTGCACGGTCCCCGGATGTCAAAAGAGATTCGACACTATTGATAATATAAATACGCCCATATATAAGATTTTCGACTTAGATGCCTTCCTAAACGCGCTTGACCCCAATGGTCTGAGCCGGGAACGAAATGTGTGATCTTGTTGCTAGTCAATGATACTATTTTTTGAAGGCATGAGCCATGGAACAGAAGCAGATCGGGTTCAAAAGCTTCAAGGAAAGCCAGTGCCATCTAAGAAGATGCGATTAGCTGGAAATGAAATTGGGTGGAAGATTGCCGTAGTGAAGGGGCAAATAGATATGAGACAATGGCAATACCAGTATATTCTACATTGTCTTGTACGTAAGGTTGTACATTAGATAAATCGCTGCTTGTCTGTCAGCTTGCATTAAGATGGTTCATTATATCACGGTTCTGTCTTCCAACGCCAAGATGTTTGATGTCATAGCTGCAAGAAAGAAGAGAATGTCAATTTCATTTTCTAGCAGGCAAGTCAGAATGCTCGGTGGCTCCAGCTTAGTCAAATATACCTGTAGACAGCGTGCCCCTAATTACTAATTTGATCCCTACTTTATCTCTACTGAAATTGCCGGCGCCTATCCTGGTCACTATTTCTGCTGGACTTTAAACTTTGACCAAGTCACTATCCGAGCAACCCTTAATCTGATCCATGAGTTCTTTCAGAGTAAAGGGTCTTTTGGCGAGGTCTTCGGATTCAGCCAAGGGGCTTCCATAATGACCGCCTATCTTCTTTTTATGATTGCCGCGATATATAATGGAAAATTGGACATAGGAGGCTGGTGATTAAGAAGAAAAATATAGCTATATAGCCTCGTTCATAGTAGTTATGATGGCACATAGAGGCTAATAGAAGTGCGATGACTTGCAATTCGTTTATTGAATCAGGACTCTACACAACCCAGGGCGCATACCGGACCAACGTCACCGATGACCACGAGCTGGCCTGACATTACCAGGGACGATTTGTAAACTAGAAATGGTAGCCTCATAAGCATATGAGCAGGAGTTGACTCTCATTTCACTTCGAAGAAGTAGAATCGTTATGCAGTCATTCAAAAGTGCAGTCCTAACTACCAAACCGCGTACATACAAAGATGAGCAAGTCAAAACTCTGGTTAGCTATCTAGTATTGATCTTGTCTAATCACCTTACAAACAATGGTATCTGCCAATGATGGACATGGGAAATATAATTGTAAATTAACCACATAGATGCGAGGAAACGGATCAAACGGACAGACAAGCTACTATATCACCGAGAGAGCTGGACACGCGCCAACAGCCAATGCGGAGCAAATGTACAAGAAACGACCATTTTAACTGATGAGCAAAACAATGATCTATTCGAAACATAGGTGCGAGTAGCTTAACCCGATTCCCCAGGTCACTAAGCAGGGCTCGAGCAGAAATGTGACGATGTCGTCGAAGTCACTGTGGATGAAAGACTAGTCAAAACTTTCACTGTCTTCGTGTCCGTTTAGACTTGTATTATCGCCATTGATCTGTAGCCGGGAAATATCTTCAGCCATGAGCGTGGTTTTTGTGCTCCACTTGAAGATCGAATGATTCTTTGAAAGCTGTCGTCCTTGACAAATGTAGCCCGCAGGGGTATGTCCAAACTCCCGACCCTTTCTAGTGACGGCTAACCACTCTTGCAAAAACCTGAGAGGGTCATCTGCAAACTCACCGCGTTCATCCACCGCAGGATTGCCTGATATTTTGGCACCGGTAGCGGATGTACTAACTATATTTAGGTACTGCAGTGTCTCACTGTACTCCTCAAAATCGAGATAGAGGCGCCCAGATAAGATTCCCAGTTCTATTTTCAAGGTGGTTGGGAATCGATTGTCGTCCTTCAGCGGTGGGACTGCGTAGAAATCCAGTTGATTAAATGGCGTCATTTTCCTGGTGAAAGGTGCGGCGTAGACGAGAAGATGCGTTGTCGGCGCCTTCTGCATTCTCAATGCTGGAACAAGGCATTCCGCTTCCTCCGGTATAATAACGAGAGCTGTGTTTGTAATTGGGCTCCACAGGATCCAGTGGATGGGACGCTGGGTATAATTTAGTGACATGCCCGTACTGATGTCAAATGCGGCACTTACAAGGAAGTCATCTAACCAGTCACCACGTCTCGCACTAACAATAGTCCTGGTGAATTCGGTGGAAACGAACAGTTTCGATTTCCCCACAACGCGGACTCCGTGTTTCCTTCCTAATGCTGTTCGTTGTAGTGCAGCAAAAGCTGGCTCATATCCAATGGAACCTCGAAGTTCTCCGGTGGTGGCGAATTTGAGCACCGCTGGATGGAGTCCGGGAAATTTCAGAGGCTGGAAGAAGACAGGATGCTGGGTTTCCCGAACCTCCTCGACCTGTGCCTCAAGCTCACGTTCCTGCTCAACCTCTGTGAATTCTAGGAGTGTAGACACCCCACTAGTATCAAGGTCAAGACGCTGCTGGTCCAGTTCACTGACGAACTCTTGGATGATATTTGGCCTTTGTACGTCAGACCGTACCACCCGGTTTACACTTTTGGGCATATATAATTGCCTTAGTGTCTGTTGCTCTTGATGTGTTATCTCAGCTAAGAAAGCCTGTCGGTCGTGCTGGTCTGAAAGGATGTTGTTGTACGTTGAAGCAGCCTGGAGCCGACGGCAGAAGTCGTATCCCTGGGTGAGATATAGTCTTTGTAGGTTCTCATTACTGCAACAGCTTTGCTCGAGGAGCCAACCTACGACGTCTGCTGAATCTAGTTTGTCGCTGTGTGTTTTCTGTCGAACATCTAGGATACTTTGGTGAACATCGGGAGAGGCAATGAACACCACAGACTGTGACTTCCCTAGTTGACGGAGTCTCATTGCAGCTGGTCATGAGTCAGACTCACGAGCTTATTCATAGAGACAATGGTGGAGGGATAATTACCTTGAACAGTATGGTCCTTGGTTTGACCGAGACTCAGTGTCAGTGCTCCCTTCGCCAATGGAGGAAATTTCAAATCCGTGCCGCGCGTATGGGCTTCATCTAAATATACCAAGCAGCCATCTAAGTTACCTGCAAATGGTGACGCTAATAAGGGGACCTCTTTGTTGTTGCGGTCTACGACCCAAGGCTTACTACTTTCATCAAAATAAACCGCTGCTGGAGCACGATGATCAATTTCCATCCATTTCCGCACGAAGCTTTTGTTGTCTAGCTCCAGAATGTGTGCCCCAGCATCTATAAGAATACGGATGCGCATCTCGTGGAGCATCTTGATGAATTGGAGTTCAGATAAGCGTTTACCGTCTGAGTGTGTGGCAGGCACATATAGTCGATTCCGCGGCTGCAGCAGGTATGTTAAAACCTCTGCATTTGTGTGAAATAACTCTGGCAGATCGTTTTGCCGGATCGTCAGGGGAAGAAGCCCACGGTTGTCATTTGTGCCACTGAATCCAGTGGTCAACGTGCCTGGCATGGAATCCTGGCATAGCGTCGAATTTCTCTCAGTAGTAAATAATGGGATATCCCATCCGGACATTTGCAGTCTTTGTGAAAACTGCCTTGCATGAACTGGAAACACCATATGATCCAGAAAGTAGTTGATGACAGTCACAGAGTAACGTACGTGGTTCCAGACTTCGCGGAGCTGGCCTTCGTCGTCGGTACTGATCAAATTCCAGTGCTGCAGAGGCTCTGGTAGGGTTTTTACGTCATGGGTTAAGCGGTCATATTCGCTAGATGGATCATCGGAGTCAGAGAGCTGTTGCAGAGACTGGCGT